GCGGCTAAATTAATCCGCCCAATTTGGGCGGACAAAATAATCCGATTTTAATCCTTCCCATTTAACCTTTACTGTAGCATGTAAAACGACTATGTTGCCCCTCATTTTGATCTAAATTACAATTGTGAAATATATATTTGTTCTCCTGCCCTAAAATCGTCCTCGACACCTCGTCTCTGTGCTCTCTCGTCCACTCCGCCGTAAACCCTAGTCTGAATCTTCTCCTTCTTCTTCGTTATTTTTTGTTCTTGTTTTTTCTTTTGCACACGTCTAACATGCATACACTCGCAGGTCTCTCGTGTTTCGCTTTGCACGACGGTCTGGCATAAGTTCCTCCGATCAAATAATCGATTTGTTCTTCCATTTTTTTGTTTAGTTTTTTTTTTTTTTTTTTCTCGAGTGTGCGACTGATTTATATTTTGTTATTTCGCAGGTAGCAATTGACCGGTGTACGTCGACCAAATCGGACTTAACCATCATTTGTCGTTCGACGTGCCTCCGACCGCAGGTACAGGTTTACTTCCAAATATCCTCCTTCACCTCGGAAATTCCGCCCCTCCAATTAAATCACAGTGTCGCAGGGTCGATTTTCTTGAAATTCGCAGCATTTAACTCGCCAACATTGAAATGTATGTACCAAATCTAGGGTTCTTATTTTCTATTTCTGCAGAGGTGCGGGAAATGGCAGGGATGGATTTTAGGAATGAAGGGCAAAATTGATATAGCACCAAAATAACATAGACTTAGACATGTATTAGTAAACAAAGGATTGGATAAGAATAGTACTGTATCATGTATAGTAAACTCGGGACAAATTCTGACGTGGCAAACTGTGGCTAGTTGGCGTGATTGAATAGTCTAATCCCGTCCGCGCTAGTAAACGAGGCCTAAATGTACAACATGGTGATATGTATGAAAAATCAGGTAAAAATTTGACAATATTGTAGTAAATTTGATTTGTGGACAACTATATAGAATTGTGAATCACAAGAAAAAAAAATGGACTAAATATATAAAATAAATAAATGGTAGTTTTAAAAATAAAAAAATAAAACTACTGTACTTGTTATTTTATTTCAATTTCTAAAAAAAAAAAATTGTACACAATATTATAAATTCTACTTCCAATTTTTTCATCTTTGTCGCTTAGTGATGGATCTAGAAATTCACTCAGGGGGAACTCGATTTTAAATGTTATATAACGAGATTGTAGTTTAAGTCAAAATATGTATTTCATGTAAAAATACTACTTATTAAAATATCGATATTTTACCATCAAGATTTTAAAAATACTTAGAATTCGTATTCCTCAAACTTTAAAAAAAAATGGATTTCATGTATTTATAATTTAAGGTTAACATCTATAATTTGTGGGAAAATAAGTTTTTTGCTTCAAAATTTGATTAAATTGAACTTTTGAAGCACATTGCATAACATTTTTGTTGATGAGCGTATCAAATAAAGATTTTTTAAGAGAGAAATAAATAAATTTTAAAATATGTGATTCCACGAAAATAAGTAAAAAAAATTATTCAAACATGTAACAATCCAACTAAATACTCAATTTTATGAATTATTTAATCAATTTACAATTAAGAGACAGAAAGAGTAAACATTTTCAACAATTTATCCAGAAATATAAAATATAAGGATAATTAGTACATCAAAAAAGCGCGCACATCCAAAAAGCAGGTGTTCTTCTCCAAGGTCGTTGATGAGGCCGTCCAGCACGAATTAGCTAAACTGTGCGGCTTTTCCAGAGTGAATGACTTAGGCCGCTTCCTGGGAATGTCGCTCATCAATAGCGGGTCAATAAATCCACTTTTTCTAGGATTCTGGAAAAGGCAGAGGGACGGTTGGCAGGTTGGCAAGCCGCGCATTATCGGTGGCGGGTCGTGTAACTCTAGCTCAATCGATGTTGGGTTCCCTGCCGTACTATTCAATGCAAACGGTTAGCTTACCAGTGGTTGTGTGCGAAGGCGTACACAAACTCTGTCGATCATTTGTGTGGGGTGGGTCGGCTACTCAACGCAGTTTGAACCTGGTTCCGTGGGGGATGTGTGCAAGCCCCGCGAGTGTAGTGGGCTATGACTGGAAGATTCTCGGCTGATGAACGATGCTTTTTTGATGAAGTTGGGATGGGCCTTTTATCAAAACCTAACTCCTTATGGGTGCGGGTGTTTTGTGCTAAGTATAAGCTCCACCCATTAACGATGCCTAGTGATTTTAAATTCTCGAGAGGTTCGGTCTGCTTGCGGGTGGTGGCTAGGATATGGCCGTAGATGACGAGAGGCTGGCGTTGGGCATTGGGCAATGGCTTGACATGTCGATTCTGGCTCGACATTTGGCTTGGCACCCAACAACCGCTGATCAATGTCGTCGTGGGCACTGTTCCTACAGATCTTTTGTCGAAGTCGATCGTGGATTTTGTTGACGTGAATGGTGGCTGGAAGTGGAGCATCGTTCCATACCTGCTTCCGACGTCGATTGTGCTGCGCATAGCAGCGGCCCTGCCGCCACAAGCTCGCGCCGGCATGGATCGTCTGTCTGAGGGTTGACTAGTAATAGGAACTTCTCAACTAAGTCCGCCTACAATCTTTTAGCCAGTCACGAGCCTCTTGCGGTACGCCCGTTGTGGCAGCTTGTGTGGCGGGCACCAATAGCCCAATGAGTTCGGCATTTCCTCTAGCTTGTTGCTCGTGACCGTTTGCTCACCAATGTGGAACGCCGCCGACGACATTTGGTCGACTCCGCGCAATGTTCAATGTGTGGTGCGGCAGAGTCCACTCTCCATGCCCTTCGAGATTGCGCCGCGGCTCGCCTCGTTTGGATTCATTTGGTGCTAGCTCCCCGCCCCCGCGCGTGTTTCTTGGCGTTAGACCTCGATGACTGGTTGTGCTTCAACTTGAACCCAGCGGCGTATAGTTCAGACACTGAGTGGCCATCGACCTTCTCTATTGCGTGTTGGCGGATTTGGTCTTGGCGGAATGCGACTATTTTTCTGAAGCTTCGTGGCGTGTGAATGCTAAGGTAAGTGATATCAGGCGGCGTGTGGAGGGGTGCTTAGCAACGGTCGCCAGTTTTCCGAAACTTGGCTCTCTAGCCCGACAATATGAAACTCGCTTGATTCATTGTTCATTGCCGCCGCCGGACTGGGTTAAGGTTAATATGGATGGGGCGTTTTCATCCCATACGAGTTGTGGATGCGCGGAAAGGTTGGTTCGCGATTCCCAGGGCCGCTGGCTCGGAGGATTTATGATGAATGCCGGCATTTGTTCCATTACCAGAGTTGAACAGTGGGGTCTCTTTCATATGCTATCTCTCGCGTGGGCCTTGGGCGTCCGGAAGATGGTGGCGGAAGTGGACAATAGTAGCGTAGCGTGATCACTATGGTTATGGGGCGAGAGGACGTGGGTGGGGTCCATGATAGTCTTGTTCGGGCCATACGAGAGTTACGTATCGTGAATGGTTGGTGGAATTAGATCATGTGTTTCGGGAAGTGAATTTCACTGCGGACCATCTGGCATCTTTAGCGGTGTCAGAACCCTTAGGGGTGCACCATCTTCCCGTCCCACCACCATCCATAGGCAGGTGGCTTGAACATGGCATTATTAGGGTGGCTTACTCCCGTCGCGTTTTGCTTTAGCATCCCTTAGGCTTCGACCTCCCTTTGTTGTACCAAAAAAAAAAAAGAGTCCCGTCACACGACTTTGGTCCAACAAAACAAAAGAAAACATACAACAGAAATAATAGAACTTCGAGCTTGCATGAGCTTTGATCACCATCTTCAACATGGTCTCGCACCATCTTCAACATAAACATTAATTTGAATTTTTCTATCATTAATCATGTTTCTATGTCATGTTAATTTTGTTATTGATCCTTTTGTGAAGTCTACTGTTTGCACTCGAGCTATAACCTTGCCGACTCTACTAATCATCAGTCTTAATCACTAACTAGGAAAATGTGTATGATATAGCAATCGATTTGCAACTGCTTTGATGGTCTGCAATGAATTTGTATATGTAACAGGTCATATTCTAACACTGCTTTGATGGTCTGCAATGAATTTGTATATGTAACAGGTCATATTCCAACACGGCTAAGCCCGCTTTCATGAAGTTGTATGTGCATACCGGCATTGTCACCGTCACGTTCCATAGTTTGAAAACGTCGAATGGATAAAATTACAGATGTGACATTAATCATATAATAATAATAATATAAATTTGTAGATAAGAAGTTTCTAGTGTTTTTATACTCAGGTGCTGTGCCAAATTTGAAGCACTATAAAGAAGCAAACACTGAATCATGATAAGCTGACATGTATATAAAAGCTTTCTTCATAAGGAAGCTCCATCTGGGGCAGTAACAATAATTATAATTATACATATAATACAGAAATCCACGCTCCCAAACATCATTGCTCACAACTCCTTTCTTTCCTCAACGTCCCAAAAGAAGTCATATGCACTGCATTGATTGAAAGGCAAGCATTCAATAAAGAAAACCTTCACCAATACAAAACACTACTAATATACAATTACTTCATGATCTTATCAAAACTAGAAAAGTCGAGCAGCATTTTTGGGCCTCACAAATTTTCTCCGTTAATCGATCATCTCACCAAATATTGCGTACGATACACATCTGATTCAAACTACTCGAATGGGACCAAAGTCCCCCGTTTCTTACATCTAATCACCATGCAATTGATGGCTCATGCTAGTGATGTGCACTTCAAGCATAATAACACCACCCTTCATAGTGTGCCATTTCAATTTCCCTCCCACAAAAGTAAAAAGGAAAGAGAAACAAATCATTTTCTCCGGTCCCTATCTAGAGCTTCCATTTCCATTTCCATGCCCGATCGAAAAANNNNAAAAAAAAAAAAAAAGACCATAACAGAACACATCACATCACAAGCTATCCACCAGCCAAGATTGCTCCGTTTGCTCAAACCATTACATAAATCCTTTTGAATGGGCTTCATACCTCCCATGATCACTCTCTTCCTTCTGTTACTAGCAACAACAACACAATCCCTAAGCTCCGAATCCCGAGCAATAAAGTCTGCCAAACTCCTTGACCTCGTCATCCGGGATTACACCTTCCGATCACAGGATAGCCGGAAGAATTTCAAGACGGGCAGGCTCTACCCGGTTGACCTTCCCTCCAACCTGTCGGGCATACAGGTCGATGTGGTCAGGTTCCGATGTGGGAGCCTCCGTAGATATGGTGCGGACATCAAGGAGTTCCGATTACGACCCGGGACCCATGCCCGATCCTGCTCCAAACGGGTCATCCTCGTCCGCCAAAACCTCGGCTCCAATTGGTCCTCACTGTACAACGAAAACTACGAGCTCTCGGGCTACCGGCTGATTTCCCCAATTTTAGGCCTGCTTGCTTACGGCGTCGGCTGCACGAACCGCTCCGCCACGCCGGAGGTAGAAATTCAGGCCGGAAAAAACCCGATCACAATCGATTTCAGGGCGGCGGGTTTGAACAACGCGAGCCAGGGGATTATACCCTTGTGTGCGGTGTTCGACGAGGGCGGGAGGATGAGCCTGTCGGACCCGGCGGGACCCGGGGTGTGCGCATCGGGCCGGCAGGGGCACTTCGGGCTGGTGGTGGAGGCGCCGCTGATGCCGCTGAGGAGGAAGGCGGGGCGGGCGAGGGTGGCGGTGGGGATCGCGGCGGGGGCGGCGCTGGGGGCGTTCCTGCTGGGGCTGCTGGCGGTAGCGGTGGTGGCGAACGCCAGGAAGAGGAGGAAGGAGAGGGAGGAGGAGATGGAGAGGAGGGCGTACGAGGAGGAGGCGCTGCGGGTGTCGATGGTGGGACACGTGCGGGCGGTGGCGGCGTCGGCGACGAGGACGATGCCGAGGATAGAGCACTTCGAGCGCCGGCGCCGGCCGGATACGAGATCGAGTTCGTAGGTCTGATTTTTGTGAGATTTTATTTTATTTTATTATTTTTCCTTTTTTACTTGGGAAATGTATAGATAAATCCCCAATCCTAAATTCATCTTCTCATTCAGTCCCTAGTGAAAAATTTTTCAATTCAACTCCCTAGTCAACAACTTTATGGTCCCCTCTAAGGTTTAAATTACATTTC